CTAGCTGGTGACTCTAAAGCTCCATTCCACAGCCTAATGCACACCTTCCTGAGAGAGTCAAAACAGGCTCTTCCGGGCAGTTAGCCTCACAGCCTTGCCTGGCTAATGAATGACACCTGTGCTATTGAGTCACAGCACACACACACCTGCAGGAGGGGACGACAGTGTTCCTCTACACCATTCAGATGCTCCATGACCTGGCCCTCACTTTGCTCCAGCCGTGCTTTTCTTTTGCTCCTGTTATCAACTGCTCTCAATTTCTAAAGAGTTCTACTTCAAATATTAATATAGTTCCCGTTTCACCCCCCTGAAAGCTTGTCTTGCCAAGGACTTTTCTGGTTGTCCTATTGAAAATTACAAACTCCAAGCTCATCTCCACTTCTTATTCTGCTACTGGATCCATGACTATTGTAAATACATAATCTAGTGTCCTTTATTCTGACTACTTTAAGGCTCTTCTACTAAAGGACCCTTTTAGTCTATTGTATTACTTGTATCTTGAGTGGTGCCTGGTTAAGAAGACTCTTTAAATGCTAGTTAATAAAGGTAATTAGTGATAGCTAGCTATCTCTGAGGTTTGGCAAGGTACATACAAAGTAAATGAGTACACAGTACGTATTAATGAATAATTTCTCTAGCTGCATATGTATCTGCTGCAAATGTTTTTTAGTGAGAACTATGGGGAAACAACTAGGAATTCTAGTAAAAATAAATGGCTTAGAAATCCTTAGTTTTTCAAGTTAGCCTCCATCTAGGTAAAGATAGTTGATGGAAAAACCTGGAAGCCTGTCCAGATAACAAGCTTTGCAAGACTTCCTTTGAGAGGAATACGGAGGGAAGAGGGGCAGAGGCAGCCTGGGATTCTTGAGTGGCCCAGTGCAGGACTCCTTAATGGCTAGTGGTTGGGGAACCCTTAGACCGCTATGTGTGGATGTCCATCTCGAATGTCCATGGCAACATTTAGTGTCTAGGACCAGAGTCAGGGCTTGTGGGACTTTCTCACCTCTAGAACAGTTTCGCAGACAGAAGCAGTGAATCAAGCCCAGTCAGGGGCAAGGATTGCTGCCATGTTTACGAGCTCTTTAATAAGGTGCATCACCGCTGCCTCTGTGACTCCCTACCATGGTCGCAGCATGGGGTCACTGGCTCCTTTATGCCTAACCCGTGGAAAGGCTAAGTGTTTTTCTTTCCAACCAGCTCAAGAAAAAAAAAATTAATTCACCTAACATTTAAAGGACAATCATTTACAAAACGCTTTAAGGTGAAAATGGAATTCTTGAAAAGGCATTTTAATTCTCAAAGAAATAAAGAACATACAATTTTCAAAAGCCTTTATTTCCAGATATAGCTGTTTGAGTAGCTGGGATAGACAAAGTCGATGGATAAAATTCCTTTAAAATTGTGTCACCTTTAGATTTTATAGCACAAAGTTGATTTATACAGATTCCCCTCAAGGCTTCCCTTGTTAACTCCCTACTCTCCCATTACACGATCCTAAAGAGAGAGGCAAATAGGTTAGATGGCAGCTCCTCCTGTTGGCGGTGTGGGCATAGTGTGGGAAGAGACACTGTGTCCACCAGACATGTGATGTCAACGTGGTAGTAACCAAAGCATCCTCAGGTTCAGTGGAGATGTCGTAGCTCATACCTTGGGGATTCTGTACAACTCACAGTTGGAGTTGGAAATTCGCTTGCTACTTTGTACAGACTTGGCTGAGTATATATGCTTGCATTTAAAAAAAAATTTTTTTTAGGATGGTGACCACAGAGTGTATATGGGAGTGTGGGTTATGTATTGACCATATATATGTGTATATATATATGTGTATATATATATGTATATATATATATACATATATATACATATATATATACATAGCTATGCATGCATATATAAATATGCATGCATACATGTCATTAGAGGAAAGTGAATTGGAAATGATAGACACCAATAGAAGAAAAGGAGAGCCAGAAGAAGGTAGTGGAAGAGAATAAGCGTTCATTAAGCTTCTACCTCATCCAGGCAGAAGGCAGTGGGGGAGCCGCGGAGGGGGTGTGTGGTTATCTGGATGTTAAGGAAGAAGCTTGTACAAACCTCCTTCCGTAAGGAGGGAGGGTGCTACGAGATGAATTGGGAGCCTGTCAGGGAATGCTTGTCATGACATTCAGAGGGAGAACAGAAGGCTGTAGGGCACTGATTTTGGCTTTGTCTCCCCTAGGTGCTGGACTGCTGTCTCACCATGAGACGAGTTATCTTTGAAGTGTTGCTGAGCAGCCTAGATAACATGACTTAAAAGTGCAAGTCCCTAAACAGGATTTGGCTCCCCAGAATACAAATGCTGAGAGAACCAAAAGGAGGCTAGAAAAAAAACAAAAACAAAAAAACAGCCCAAGACATTTTCCTTCAAGCCCAGGAGAACGCTGCTGGTCTTTATAATTTAAAAGGTTCTGGAATTGGAAGTTTCTGGGTATTAGTATCAGGAGTTCGGTACATTTCTGTTTTACTCTAGGGCTGTCGAGATGTCAGCAATTTCATTTTACAATGTCTCTAAAGCATCTACCTGAAGTGAAGTGATGATGGGGTGGAAGGGTGCCTTGTAGAGTCCCTGTTCAAGAGAACATAATCAGGACAACCTGCGATGGAGACATGACAGAAATGGCAGAATGCAAGCCGGAGCCACTGCAGAGAGTTCCACATAAGCCTCCAGGAACTCCCAGGGAATTCTAGAATGTGCTTTGATGTCGACTTCCCCTACATGCACATGCAGTACCACAGGAGAGGTCTCGGGCTTCTCTGCCTTCCTTTGTATTTTCACTAGATCTCTTCACCGAGTCTAATTCTTCATCATGGTCTATAGCCACAGCCCCTGCCACATAGTACTGCAAAACTTAGTTCCTGCACGTTGGTCACTTGCTTGGCTTCCTGTCTTGTGTTGAGCCATATAAGATGATTAGGAGAGGTGGTGCAAGCCTATGATTGATATGGACTTGCTTCAGTACTCATAGAATGACAGGCACATGGCACTGGCAAAGGCGAGAACACATGCCCCAAGAAATCCACAGATACGCAAGCAAGTTCAATCCATGCAAGTAGACCACCAAGTTAGTCCATCAAAATGGTGGACACTTAGAGAGGTGGAAATCAAATGCGTACTGCTGGGTGTTTTTTGGATAGCCAATTTTTGATGTTGTTGCTGTTAAATAGCAAAAGCTAACTTATCTTTTTAAGTTTAACTTAAGCTTTTTAAGTTAGTTAAAAAGGTAACTTTTATGAATAAAGTGTAATTAATAAAAGTTAAATAAAAAATTTAATAAAAAGCTAACTTTTTTCTCATATCTACTGGAATGAGGGTCCTAAAATGAAACACCAAGTATCCTAAAGTTAGTCTGCTTTAAGTATTTTAATAGTACATCTTTGAGCTGAGCTATGCATCCCTCCTCCAGATTTATGTGTTGCAGTTCTAATCCTTAGCGCCGCAGAAACTGATCTTATTAGGAAGTAGGGTCACTGTAGATATAATTAATTCAGAGGAAGTTATGGGAGTAAGGTAGGTCCCAACCCAATATAACTGGTGTTATCAAAAGAAGGCATTTGGCAATAGGCTGGCACCTAGGAGAACCACGTGGACACCAAAGCACAGATCAAGATGATCTGTCTGAAAATCAAGAAACAACAGCCAAGATTGCCAGAAAACCACTAGAAATGAGGAGATAGGGAAAAAAATAATTTTCCCCAGAAGGAGCTAATCATACCACCACCGTTGTCCCCATTTTCTGGACTCCAGAGCTCAGAGGAACCGATTCCAGCTGGTTCTCAACCGGTGGGTGGTGGCCCTCACAGGGATCAGATATCAGATATCCCTCATATCACATATTGCCCTTACAATTCGTAACAGTAGCAAAATTGTGATTATGACGTAGCAACAATCCTATGGTTGGGGGTGTGTATTAAAGGGTCACAGCATTAGGAGAATTGAGAACCGCTGCGTTCTTTTACTTTTAGGATGAAGTTCCACCACTTTCATAAAGCACAGACACTCTTTCTTAGCCTGGAGCTGCCTGTACTGTCTCATTCCTCACTTGCATCTCCTTGACTCAGTTTCTCTCTGCTTCTATGTCCAAGGAACCGTTTATAGAGCATCAGTGAGTTTCCTATGAGACTTTGCCTGTGCCAATTCCTTGTCCTCAAATATCTATTTTAATACTGTCTGTTCTCTATTACATCTGGTTTGGTATTTTCTTACTTTTGTTTTCCTTGCTCCAGATTGGCAATGGTCTCTTGAAATGTCTTCTTGACTTTCCCACTCACCACTGGGAAAGAAGGCATTACAGGATGCCCAAACACTCTCCGGATATTTCTGCCCTAATATCTAGCACACTGTGGGCATGCCTCATCCTCATCAGTAGCCTTCACAAGAGGTTCACCCCTTGACGTAAAGGCCACTTTCAGTCTCTGCATTCCTGGTACTCAGGATGTGGCTGGCACAGAATGATTAAGAGCGTCTCAGTAGAAGACTGTGTATGTTTTTCTGCTGAGACACAAACCAATATATCCTCAGAATAAGGGAAATGCATTTTGCTCATATGGCAATGGGCAGCTGAATTTGCTTGGAGATAAAAACACTCAGTTGAAGACCAAGCATTGATTCCATATTCTCCTCCATTTCCTTCTCTGTGTAACCAGCCATATTCCCAGGCTTCATAGTGCCTTTAGATGTAAGTGACTGTGAATTATTACTGACTGTAAGCCTTTCATCTTCAAGACTGACAGCCTAGGTTCCACATCTCTCAGGAGGGAGAGCCTATTATAACTATATTTTTGCTTACCAGGAGAATCGTTAATAGTTATCCTGGAGGGAAAAGAAATCTATAAATATCCAACCTGTAATGAAGACTTAGGCTTCCTTTACTAATGAGATTCTCTCCACGTGCACTGTCAGAGTGGCTACGGAACCACGGCAGGACGAAATAGACAGAGCCAGTCATGACTTCTTCTCTTACCTGTTTCGTCCTCAGCTTGGAATCTGATGACAGGTTGTTGTACGTATAGTGTGCCTGTGTGACTCCACAGAAGAGGACAGCGACTATGCCTGAAATTCAAAAGAAGACCAGTCAAAATCAACTTTCCTTCCCAAGACAAAGGGCAGGGCTAGAAAACGTACTTGATATCAAGAGAGGTGAACTTCTCAATAATTACTATGATAACGAAACCCAGGTAAATCTTTCTGCTTCCTTCAAACAGGTCATGGGGTTAAACATAAAGAAAAGTATTAAGCGGTAGATTCTTACTAAAAAAGAAAGTAGCTTCTTCCTAGTGAGGAATGACCCTCTAGTCATGAGTTAGAAAAGCCACTCTTAGAAACATGTGAATGAAAAAAAAAATGTTGGGAGTCAACGCTGGCTTTCCCAGAACAAGGGCCAACTACTTTGCTGCATTTTCTGGTGGACCCTGGTACATCTGCTTTCTACTGTGTACCTTGGGGAGGAAGCCTGGAAAGGTTCCTACCAGACCATAATTTAGTATTAAGAGCCATGAATAACAAACCTAAGACCTGGAAAAGGGTTTTGTGGCTCCTTCCAATGCATTAGACAAGAGACCTCATGTGCCTAACTGCATCTCTGACTAAGCTGGCACACTCCTTTTGCAGCTGAAAACCAATGAGCACCTCTGTCCAAGCCACACACTCCCTGAAGGTAGTAGGACTGTGGTCTTTCTCAGTGTGCTCTCTGCAAGCCCATCCCTGGCCAACTGCAGAGAACATTTCTTAAAGGCACATTACTCACAGCTTTAAATGCTACATGAAGTCACACATGCCAGATGCTCCTTGAGGACAGAGAATAACAACAGGACAAAAGTGTTACTTGTTCCTTGGCTCCGCCACTCTTAGTGTCCCTGGGGCAGGTAGGCTTTGGTGAGAGCTGCACTCTACTTTGGATTAAAGATTAGATTAATTATGGGAAATTGGGCATAGAGGGGGCTTGGGGAAAGGCATGGGAGATAAGTATTCCTCAACTCAGAACAAGAGGATTGGGCTGAATTTTAAGCAGCAGAAGCTTTCCATCTAAAAACACTCATAAATTAAACGCTGATGATTCTTAAGAGTATAGAGCTATGTGAACTGAATGCTGGCATTTCAAATGAGCTTGAAATAAGGAATTTTAAAGGGCTGAGCTTTCTCATATGAAAGCTTCACACATGTATTTTCATGCCGGTTATTTTTCAAGTTGGTATCAGATAAAATACTGTTAAAACATGTTTGTATAATACCAGTATATGCCATTTACATTGCTTATTCCCTCTAACATTGTGTTTTAAATTTTTAGAAAAAAAAAACAAGCAAGAACATTTGTTAAGATATACATACATATATATATATGTATATATATGTATATATATATATATATATATATATATATATATATATATGAATGATAAATGTTTCTGGAGATTTTTGGTAAATTTTTAGTTTCTTAGTATGTGTTGGAAAATTCTAAGAAAAAAAAAAGTCTAAAATATTACTCATCACAGAATTTTTTTTAATCGAAAATCAACCAGTACCAGGAATGCGTGAGTGCTGTAAGATGTTGAAGTAGGAGGAGGACTGACATTTGTTGTGTTTTGATATGAAATGTTTCTCTGTATTTGTTTGAAAATATGATGACGTAGTGTATCTATCTCAAGTCCTCAGGGGCCTCCTATGATTGGGGGTTCATTGAGCCCCATTTTACGGTGAAACTACTTAACAATGTATTTATATTCTGGAGAGGACGAGGACGTGAACACTGAATAAATGGGAAGGTGGCAAGGACAGTGAATTAGTTCACCCTGAAAAGAAGAATGGCTAAGAGATCCTTGTCAGGAAGGGGGGGGCTCAACGTGTGGACACCTACAGTGAGCTGGTTTCCTCTCCTCTTCCTGGTTACTACATCACAGCACATAGGCTCAGGTTCCTGGTGACTCAGCATCCTAAGTCTACTCTCTCCCTCTGCTCAGCACATCATCTTCGTTTCCCTGCTTTCCGTGCCGTTGGGCTCACCCTTTGTTTCTCCCTGTACACCACCAATTGCATTTAATAGCTGGGCCCCATCATTTTCTAACTCCTCTAGCCATAACATCTTTTTCCTAAGTGATCATCATTTTGGGCTTGGGTGACAGCAATGGCTTTCTAGGTGAAGTCCCTGACTCCCTAGTCGGTCCCTCACATTCTGTTCCTACAAATCCATTAGAAACATTTTAGGTCATGTGAGTCTTCTGCCCAGAACTTTGTAATGTGCTCCCAGGGTCTAGCCCTTTCTCTTCTCCCTTCTTGGACCTCAGTTTTAACAAACTCCCTCCTGACTCATGGCTCCTACTACACCCCTCTCTCCACAAGGCCTGTGAGTATTCAGAATTGGGAGAGCTTGTTTCAAAAGACCCTCGTGGTTCCCTCTTTCCTTCAGGCATGTCTTCAGATGTCACATAAACAGACAAACATCCCCGCTTCACTTCGTAAAATTGACCCTTTCATCATTCTCTACCCCTCTGTCTGGCTTCTCCCTCAAGGTAATCTACTGTCACCTAACAGTTTTTGTGCTTGTGTGGTTTTCTGCCACCTTCACTGAAACAGCTTAAGATAGTCTCGGGCCACTAATTCTTAGAGAAGCTCTGGGCATTTGTGTGTGGCGCTGATGGGTAAGTAAATGTTTCTATTCCTGTGGACTAGGTGAGCGACTAAACTTGCTGACTGAAGGTCACCTTGGAAACGACAGCTGTGAGGCAGTGTTCCCTGACTCTCTTTGCTTTTCTGCCTGCAGTAGGCTGTCTATGCATGTTTTGAAGTGATCCTTATCTCTCTGAAAGCTGTCATCTCTGGTGTTCCAGGAGAGTAGATATCTGATGGTGGGGATTACACATCTGATCTGGCTTGCCTCATCCTCTGAGCACAGTCTTCCTTGTCACTCCATTGGCTGCCATTTTCTTGCCTCCTGCAGGATACTAACATGCAATGTTCCTGCTAAATATATTCAGAGGCATGTGCATAGCGACATGATATGCATGACAAACCACGAAGACCATGTGATCAGAAGCTTGCTCTTGTAATTAAAATAAAGCAACAAGGTTGATTTGGCCTTTACTATTAGCACACACAATCATAATTCTATAGCCTGGTAATTAATTAAATCACACAAATTACTATGATTAGGGTGACTTTTATAAGCCAAGCACATTTTGAAATTGTCTCATCTAAATATACCAAGTAAGCCATCTTTCTTATGGATAGCTTCACTTTGTGATTTCAGTTATTTGCAATCAATTCTGGTCTGAGAGTTTCAGAGCAGAGTCAACTCACCCTCACTAAGCTTGGCCTAAACCTTGAGTGGCCCTCAAACGAGACCTTGTCTTGTTCTTATTTCCTTGGGGACAACACAGTTTTTATTGCCATCTTTTGTTTATTATTTATCAACTTTCTTGATAATGTTAAAGATGTTTTAAAAGCATATTTTTTTGTGTTTTTTTCTGTTTCTCCTGTGGCTTTTCTGAACTGACGTGGTTCTATGAAATAAATTTATTTCAGAGAACAATTATCTTGCAGGACATCTGAGGGCTTTAATTATTTTTTTCTTTTTTAAAAAAGCAATAGTGGTGAGTTAAGAAATTACTTCCACAGATTAAATTAATAAAATATTTTACCATCAAATAGTTCGGTAAAATTTCTCTTCCAAAGAAAGCAAACAATTCTCATCATTTAATTGCTATAAAATTATATCTTTTTATCAAAGTGTCATAGGCTCAGAAATTAACAAAAAGACATGGGCAACTAAATGTGCCCATTAGATATTTCAAAGTAAACTTTTCTTAATGAAGCTGGGATTGAAGATCAAATCAAATTAGAAATTATAATCTACATTGAAATAAATATCACTGAGTGTATACTCTCTGTCAAAACCAAAGGGATAAAAACAAAATTCTCTGGAGGATGTTTCATAGCTTTATATAGAACTTACTAGTAGAAGAAAGATTGATAGTAAGTGGACTATTAATTTCAAGAAGTTAGACATGTGGCATAAAATAGATTCAAAATAAGTATACTAAAAATCAGCTAGTATCTAATAATGTAGAAGGTATGTAAAATAAAGAGAGGAAAAACAACATATTCCATGCTCAGCAGTTCAGAGTGGCTCAAGTCCCTGTCTTGCCCAGGTTGCCATTTTCTGGCTCCGGACATGGTTAGAAAAAAAATGGGTGTTTGCCAGGTCCATCATGGCTTGGATTGGGAAACTTAACTAGAACAGAGTGGGAATGGAGAGGTGCTAGACACTAAAGGAATGATAGGCACACATAGAGAAAAGCTGAGGTTGCGTAGGCTGTCCTCGGTCTGATAAAAAGTCAGCTATTACACTATCAACCTGGAAACTCGTTTCTTTATTCTAAACAGCATAAGGAAGAAGGGTTAGCTAGTGTCAGCTGGGCTGTTTTTTAGGGAAGCAGTCTTAGGCTCTAAACATCTAGGAGAGCAATCTGTGGTTTATTCCTTCTATACATTCTCTAAACCTTCTCGCATGGACCATGTCATTTCTATGGGTCTGAGGCATTGGGTCCTTGACATGACTATCCTCATGTCAACAGCATCCATTCATTCGGGATTTTGTCTGCTTCCCACTGGCAGTATTGGCCGATGGCCTCACATTTTAAACATTCAGATTTTCTTGTTTGGATAGCTCTCAAATATTTCACAGGTTTGTTCTGAGTATAAAAGCAATGTTCTATACACTGAAATGCTTTCTCAACTAAGCATATTAATAAAACTCAGTAAATATAAAGTTTTCCCATAAGTATTAGAGGAGAAAGAAATGAAGAAGACATGAAAGGGAGATTAAGCCAGGGAAACTCATTCAAAGGAAAAGCACAACCTTTTCCACTGAACTGTCTAATGAGACATGTATGCTTTGTACAGTCTATGCTCTTCGGGGTCACTTGCTGCCTTATTTTACTCCTTATTACTGCAATAAGGAAAACAGGGAAAAAAGAAATTTCTTACTCCTAATAATGTAACCAGACAGTTCATAGTTCCTCTATTTACAATAGCTGGACGTGGAAACAGCCTGGATG